AGGGTGGGTTGGGGTGGGTTGCAGGGTGGGTTGATGTTTAGAGTTGATGCTTAGATCCCCAAGCCAGCAATTGGGGCAGGAGTTTAAATCCCCAACCGCCAGTCAGTCCAAACCACCAATAAAGGGTTCAAACGTACAATGAACAACTGAGTAACATGTCCAAGGGAACAACTTGCACCCCCTGTGCTCTGCCCCTTCTAGCCGGGTTCTGTTGTTGGATGTGTGTGTGTGTGTGGCTTACCTTCTTCTATCTTAGCAAGGAACCAGGTCGGAGGCCGTGCGTGGAGCCTGAGAGGGGGATTCCTGGTTGCCTTGCGGATGGGGCGACAAGCTGAATGCAAGGGCTACGCAGCGACGCAGCCTTTAGTCTTTGGATCCATTTTGGTACATCCTTTGAGCCACAGCCGCTGTCCTCTAAACCATGTGCATTCTTTTGAGACCTAATCCATTTTGCTGCATTCTTTTGGTGCATTCTTCGGCTTCATGTTTTGGCCATGTTCCCTCCAAGCCATTTGGTGGCTTCATGGGACCCGACCCCACGAGCCGCCAGCCGCCCGAGGCGCTGAATGAGGCATCGCACCACGTCCGCCTGTCCGCTGCTGGCCGCCAGGAAGAGCGCGGTGCGGCCCTGGCGGGGCTGACGGAGGGCCGGGCGTGCAGGTGACAAGGGGGCCGCACCCGACTGATAAAAACAAAGAAAACTAATGAGTTTCCAATGGTTGGAGGCTTATGACCTTTTGAAAATCCAAGAAATTGTTGGAGGTGCATAACCGCATTAAACCAAAAAAGAAAAGAACGATCGACTCCTCTCTTTTTCACGAGGTTCTGGGCGTTGAGACTTTCATGGACTTCCACAAAAACCCTAAAGCCCAATTCAGGCAGCGGCTCTTGGGGCGCGAAAGAAATTCTTCATTGGTTGCCACACACTGGCCACATATAAGACAAGTTGTCAGCAAGTGATCGATCTGGCGAAGCCGCCTTGTGCGGCGTCACCAGGTGCTGGGGTCAAGGAGTCATACGGGGTCTGCCTTAAAACGAGTCACCTTTTGCATTGTGTGGAGAGACCATATTCTGCTCCATTAATTCCGCATCCAAAGTGATCCCAGCAAAACACAACTGGGATTTCCCGAACACCGGGTCACCCACCAACGGAAAGCGATTGTTGAAACACAAGTTCCCCCCTCAAAGTACGTACCCGTCAACATCAAATGACTTTGCCTGACTTCCAATTTTGGGTGCGTGTTGAAATGGTTCCCCCCCAAACAAAAACACAATTGTGGTACAAAAGGAACACCGCATTCGGAAAAAAAATGGTGGGGAGGGATCCCGTAAAAAAGGACGCCCCCCCCATGAAAGGGCCGTTCTCGAGCCTTCAAGCACCCTGCCTGGTTGTCCTGTCGGTCCCGGCGCGCCACGTGGCACAGCAGCCGCACCACGCCCAGCCTCCCGAACCAGCAGGCCACGTGGAGAGGCGTCCTGGCGACAAATCGAAGCGCCGAATCAAAGCTCCGGGCGCGTGGCGCGAGTGGCGGCCTGGTGGGTCTTGTGAAGTTGGCACCTTGGGCGTCTTTTGGTTGTTTTTGTGGGAAGCTAAGGGACACAACACATTTTTTGGGGTACACCGGTACACCTGTCTATTTCTTTGAGGCTACCCATGTTGGGGTGGTTTTTGGGAAGCTGAGGGAAAACAACCCGTTTTTTTTGGGACAAACCCGTCCTTTTTGTTTAGTGGCTTGACAAACGCTCAAGGTGGGAATTTGCGGGTTCCCTCATTTCTCCAACTAAACGTCGGTAGCGAAACTCACATCAAACGGGGCGGGCAAGGTGCTCCTTAAAACCAGAGACAATCGCCAAACATACGGAACCCAAAACCAGATCTGCCGCCATGGAACAAGAAAGGAGCCGCTTTCTTGGGGTACCTGGTACCTGATCTTAGCGGGACCCCCAGGCAGCGCCAGACTTGGACCCTGCAGAAAGCTTAACTTGTTGCTAGCTGAAGAAAATGAAGCAAAGCCACCAGGGCAAAAGTCAAACAGTTCCAGCGCCCCCCAAGAACTGCTTCTCCCATGTCCACAATCGCAAGCACTGTCCGAACAGCAGTCAGGTCAATGCAAGTGCTGAACTGGAGATTCTCACTTCCGTGGATTCGCAAAAAAAGGAAGAGACAAATGCCAACTGTTTGGTTTACAGCGAAGACGGTCCAAACCTAACTAGTGGGTCTAAAGTCCGAACCGGACCTCTCTGGAGCGAGGATTTGACATCGCCCTCGGCTCAAGCGAACTCGCGCGGCTTCGGTCCAGCCATCGCGGTCCACGGTCTCGGCACTGGCCGCAGCGTCCAGCAGGCATCTCACCACCCCCACACAGCCGATCTGACCTCGTAGCCCGAGCCCACTCAACTGGCCTCCCTCGAACAGGTTGGAGCGGCTTCCGGTTGGTGAAAGTTGGGTGGCTTCCCATTTACCCTCCACAAGATGCAGGGGTTCAAATCCCCAAGCCACCAATCCGAAGCACCAATTGGGGCTTCCCTGATGTTTGCTGTCCAACCCTTGGCATGGTAGGGAAACACGTTGCTTCTTGCAGTCCCCCCAGCAACAATGATTAGAACAAACAAAAACAACAACACTTAAACCATGGAACCAACAGTAAGTTTGGATTGGGCTTTTGCCTCTGGTTTGCTGTCCAACCCTTGGTTCGGTAGCGAAAAAACTTTGCCTTTTGCAGTCCCCCCACCAAAAATGAGCAGACCAAAAAAACAACAACTACAATCCAAGAAAAAATGTCAACAACTTGGTGAAGTTTGGATTGGTGGCTTGGAGGTTCGTTCGGCTGGGTGGTTTCCCATTTACCCACAAGAACCAGGGGTTCAATTCCCAAACCACCAATTTGGGGAACCTGCAACCTGTGGGTACACCAAAAACAATATGTGTTATCTTTAGGCTACCCTAAAACACACAATGATTGTTGTAGGAGAACCCCAATGGGTGTCCGTGCTTGGAAGGCACCACTTTGGGGTTTAATTAGAGGAAACCCAAGGGACGGCACACATTGTGGAGTGCCGGTGACCCCTATATCTCGTTCATAGGCAACCAGTGAGGGAAACTTTGGAAGGGAAGTCCTGCAAAAGTAAATGTTATTTTGCTTTGTTGAGGCAAATTTTGCACTTGCCCAAAAGGACCGAAAAAGGAGCGCGGGAAGCAAAAAGGCCGGCTGAACCTGTTGGGTCGTCCTGAGTTGGCAATGGTTCAATGATTCAAGCAATACATGTGGTGTTCCACCTTAAGATGTTGTCATTGAGCTGCAATGCTCAATCACCGCCTCCATTGCATCTGGAAACAAACCCATGTGGGATGAATTTCAATTGGGATCCACGTCCACCAACCATGTCTGAGGTGGTTAAAACCCGTAGCCACCTGGTGAATGGGTCATAGATAGCCAAACTAACCTCAAAAGGACACTCACTGTGGATGGACGCAATCCTTCACCACCTAAGAAACCATGGGAAACCATTGCTTGTTGGTATTTACGCTTGGGCATCGAATCTGTCCAGGGTTTCTGAAAGGTGCTGCGAAATCGCTTTCGCAACCATCCAATGACCGCGGGTTTCCCTTCTTCGACGGCTCGAGCTTGTTTTCGCCAAGACGCTGGCCATGTGCAGGGAGGTTCGCGCCTCGAGGTCCCGAGCATCCACATCGGCGCCCTGCTGGATGAGGTACACCACCGCCTGCCTCAAAAGAAACACACACACACACACACACAGCGCCGTCTTATAAAAGAACGGGAATCCACCTTCCACTGGAAACGCCCTCAAAAAGGACTGGACCGGGTGATTTTCCTTGTGATGCCTTTTGACATTGCACTCTCGGCTTGTCTGCAAAGGAGTGTGTCCTTTGCTGGTTGGCGTCAAAGAAGAACTAACGGACATGAACCAACCATTCAATAACAATTCCCACCACACCCATATGGACCCCCCCAGAAAAAAGAACAATATTTCAGGCTGGCTTTGGTGGAATGATCTGGTGTGAGAGGACATTGGGGAGGCAAATTTCGGGCTTCATTGGTATCTGTAAGAAAACCTCAAAGAAGAGTATCATCCGGGGGGAAAACCACAGAAACATATTTTTGCACCAGCATCAGAATGAGCCTGTCAGCGCAGGATACCAAACCGATCCTGGACAAACTCAAGCCCGAAGAAGCCCGAATGCTTAAAGTTATCACGGTTGTTGCGTGTTGTTCCCACAGATTGGAATCTAGCACTGAAACTCCCAACCGGAATCAGCGAAACTGATCAAACACAGATTTCCTAAGGGGAGGTCATGATTTGATGCTGGCCACAGGTGCCAAAATTTGGCGTGTCCAGGGGCGATTACAACCCTTGCTTCAAGATGTCAAAGCTGCCAACACGCTTAACAGGGTTGCTAGCTAAAGGTAACCTAAGGGCGTAGGACATTCACTGGGTTGTTCTACCTTGCATTGCAATGATCAGCAAAAGCGAAGGGCGGGGCCGCCTGTTCTCACTTCTGGAACCCTGCGTGGATGGTGCTTGTTCAAGGGAAGCAACTTTAAAGCCACGAAAAACAAGATTGAAGTTAGGCCCCTGAAAAACCAGACACATGTATAAAGTGTGTCCTAACTCCACCCCAGGCCAAATCCAATAACATGGGCAAAAACTGTGATTGTTCCAAAGGCAAATGGACACCCATTGTCATGTTTAAGGCTCTCATGTTTGAAAACACCCGCATTTAGTGGTTCCTCTCTCCAACTAAAACGGGTCAAACATGTGGCCCCTGGACCCCCACCTTTTTCAGTAGCTATACCTGGGCCAGACTTAGCCCCCCCGTGAAAAACAAGCTTTTTAGATGGTTGAAAGGGGGCAAATGGCAAACAAGCAAGAAAGGTAAGCCACAGCGAAGTCTGGCAATGCAAATTGGCTCCTAATTTTGAGAACCCTAAGAATCATTGGACCCTTGGGAGAAATGTCTGGAAGGCTTTTAGACCTCAAAGGCCCTTTCTGAGACTCGCCAAGATTCGGGCCGTGAGCCCCTCAACCGACCGCAACCGAAGGCAGGAAGGCCGGACGGCCGGGGTGCTTGTTGCCAGCGCAGGCAGCCTCATACAGCGCGGTGCGGCCCATATCGTCACCCTTGTGCTTGTCCACCCCAGCCTGCGAGCCGAATGGGCAAACCAACAAATGAGGAGCCCAACGCCGCCAAAGCAACGCTCTTGAACATTGAACACCTTCAAACGAGCTGAAAGCAGCTTCCCTCCAATTGGTTTGGAGCTGCTGATGCTCCGGGGTGGCCCATCCCACAAGATCCGGGGGGGCCTGTCCCCAAATCGCCAAATAACGGTGACTGGTCTTTCATGTCGGGGGGAGGGCTGCGACACAAATACTTTTGGCAGCCGAACGTGGTATCCTGATCGTGGACATCCCAAGTCCTGACTTTCAAGCAGTGGTCTGGGGGTGGAAAACAGGGTTGAGCACGACTTGCTTAAACAACCAGGCCCTGGTGGCCAAAAGAAGGTTGTTGCACGAATTGTTAAGCAACGACTTGTTAACTTAAAACAGAAAGTTTGTGACTCGAGGAACCATGAGTCCACGAGTTTAGACTTGCTGGATGTCATCAGGAGAAGTGGTTTATTGTTTGAAACAAAGGCTCGGCTTCTTGGTGGACACCGTCCAAATGGCAGACCTCCGCGACAGCCAACGGGGATTGGGTCTTGCGCCTTCGGTTTTTTGATGGGGGGGCCATGGCCCGCTACAAGCTGCACGCGCAGCCTACTATGAGAGGTCGTCTTGAACATCCCGAAAAGAGGGTTGGATCATCGCTGGTCTCTTGCAGGGAAATGGCCACAACAAGAAAAACGGAATGCAGCACAAAGCGTGTGCGTGCCAGGCTTGTCACAAAGAGTGTCACATAGAAGGACTGATATGGTAGCACTGGATCGTCTTCAAAAAGGCGTTTGGTGATTTCTGGCCATGCTGAGGTGGTGACGAATTCTAGGCTTATCCTTGTCAGGTTGGGTAGGTTGCTGTCCTGCTGTTTCATTCGCCATACTTGTCCCTGCTGAGAACGCGTCCTACCATTTGGAGCTTTCTGTCTTCCAGCATTTCAGCGAAGGGGCGGATTTTTCATCCTGGCCCTTGGGGTTGGCGCCTAAAGAATGTCGCTTGCTCTTCTGTACACATACTTGTTGCTGTTCTGTTTCTTGTAGTTTCAGAATCTTACGGAGCCCTTTTCATTAGGGCTTGTTCGGGAGTCGGGGCGTTGCTTCGGGGCGCAAGCAACCCTCAGGGGCTGGCCGTAATTTTAGGCCACCGACTCTAAAAACGGGCTGAAATCCCACACCAACCCCCCAACAACTGCATTTTAGCTGTAAATGAGATGTTGGACATGGCTCAAAAATCCGAACAGTCCGGGGGTGGGTGGGGGGGGGTTTTGCCATGCTTGTCCATTTTTTGGGGGATGGTTGACACCCTGCGAAAACCCACCGAGCTGGGTTTTCCCCTGGACTCTCCAAGCGAACCGCATCCGCGGCCTCGTTCAGCAGCCGCACCAGGGAGAACTGGGGCGCCACCACCGCCTCGTGAAGCGGCGTGCGGCCCTGGTGGTCCGGCTGGTCCTCCGATTCGTGAAAACCGAGGCGGGGGAACGTCACGTCTGTGGCCCATGAGGTTCCCTTGGGGAAGTATGGGGAAGCCCAGGAGAATATGGGGAAGCCCAGGTTCGAGATGTAGCAACATGTGCCGAAAGTTGGGAAGGACTTCCCCATGTTTGTGGTGGGCGAGATGTAGCAAATAGGCCGAAATATTGGAAGGGAGCCCAACAAAAGGAGGAAACCAGACGAACCCTGGCTCATGCTCTGACTCGCCTTGTTGGCCCCCGCATCCAGCAAGTAGTGTACCACGTCCATGCGCCCGGAGTCAACCGCCAGATGCAAAGGCCCCCGGCCCCGCGCGTCAAGGGCCTGCGGACCCGAAAAAAGGAAGGACGCCGCGTGTCGTTCCGATTCATTCCGAATGAACAGAAACATCTTTCCTTATGGTTTCCTTCTGGCTTCCTTGTGGTTCCTTCTGGCTTGCTTCCTTATGGTTTGCTTGTGGTTTCCTTCTGGCTTCCCTTTCACTAGGCAACGCTGTGCCATTCTCACAGCTCCCAACTGGAGGATCCATGGCATCTGGAAGCCCCAAACAAGCCGCAAGTCGGTCTGACGGACCCGTTGACGCATCGATGCGTCAGGTTCCAAATGGCGCCGGAGTTCTGAAAGTGCTTCAGCACCCTCCAACCACTGCTGTTTGTTCGGGGGGTGTTGTTTTGGCCGACTTGTTGAGATCCCAAAATCGCGAATCGCAAATCATCGGAGTTGGTTGCTCTGGTTCTTCCAGTACCACTATGGTCGGCAACCAATGAAACCATCATGTAAAACCCAAGGGCAACAAACCGAGGTTACCTACTATAGTGGCTTGCCTAGAAGCACTGGCTTACCTTTCCCAGGGTGGCCTACGCTCTTGGACTCTTGGGCCAATTGGGTTTAACAGGAGAATCGATCGACAAGATGTCCAAATCCACCTACATGATGTGTGCTTTCCTTTGGCAACCAGGTTCCATTTAGTTTCCAGTTCAGGAAGCACTCGCCAGCCGATCGAAAGATCAAAGAACAGAACAGTGATGAAGGTGTGAGAAAATCAGTCCGACGTGAAAAAGACTGAAGCAAAACAGATCATTCATAGGGTCCCAACCTCTGTTAGGCCGCAAACACACACAAGGCAAACCAAATCTTTTCGGGGGGCTTGACCTTCTCTAACGCACACACCCACACACCACATAATTACTTACAAACACCACACTCTCTTTTTTTTCCTCTCTCTCTCTCTCACTCTCCTTCACAGCAGAAGCTTGAGACCAACCAGTTTCAACCTTCGAAGCGCTCACATCAAAAGCTTGAGACCAACACATCAACCTTCGCAGCATCTCTTAGCGCTCCCTTTGGGCTTTCGTTTCACGCGAGCGCGGTGAGCTCCACCTCCTTGTCTGCGCCCGCGGTGCACAGGAAGCGGACCACCTGGCTCACAGCCAAGCGAAGCAAGCTCATGGCCATGGGTTGCAGTGGCCCTATGGCGATCCCATTTTGGGGTGGGGTGGAACATCCATTTGATTTCCACCTATTTGGATGTCCAGAATTACAGGGTTTTGACCCACAGCCTCACAAGGAAGTTTTGGGAAGGACAAGTCGTGCTTAAAGCCACCTCACGAAGGACCGTTTTGCTACTGTACTTAGGGGATTGCGGGGAATGACCCCAAGACAAACCCTCCCCGATTTGGTTTCTTTTATTCGGGAATCCCCTTCAAGCCTTCCCGTTCATTCAACCAACACCGGAAAAGTTCCCTACCCATCGCGCAAGCAAGAAAAGGACAACCACAAGTTGGCAAACAAGCAAGTTGGTTGGTTGAGTCTGACACTGAACACACGTTTCTTCGAGGCAATACTGTTCGACCCATGAGGAGCAAACATCGGCACTGCCGTGTATTCCCCAAGATGATTGCTGCCTCGTCGAATCCCGTTGGGGTGAAAGAGCCTTTAATAATAAGGACTCCGGCAATACCTCATTGCCCTCCTCAAACTCAAGGAAAACGGTTTTCCAGGAACCTCCAGTTAGGTTCCATGTGGGGATGGTACTGCTAGTTAGTTCATTTGGGCAGTCCTCTACTCTTTCGGGAGTGGGAAAATGAAACAAAGACAAAGGGTGACATCTTGTTTATTGAGTCAACCCATTTTGCTCTGACCGAGCAAGACTCAAACCGGGAGTAGAACTCGCCGGCTGCTTCTTCTTCTTTTTGTGAGATCCAAAGGTTGAGCCTCGTGTACAGAAATAGTGAGGACAAATGCACAGCATACAAACATACATCTATGATCATCTATGCAATATACTTGACATGTGTGTGATACTGGATACCGGAATTTTCAGGTGCTAGACATATCTAGACAACTTCCGGAAGGTCAGTTGGGACTTTCCTTCCAGGGACCTCCGTTGGAAGGTCTCAGACATCAAAAAAAGCTTGGAGCCGAGGTCAGAGGATTAACACCGCCCACTAGTCGTCCATCCCCGTAGCACCTACCCCATCCTGATACTACGCGACTTCTTTTACCAGCTTACAACATGGCCCCTCTATGGATGCTCACGTCCCCACACCTGGTTTGGGGGTTGGACACACAGCCAGCGAGGGCGCATGGTGTCCTTTTCAAAAAATAGACGGGCTCCTCTGAATGAACCAAGCTCATTCGGTAGTGGAAGAATCTATGCTTCACCAAAGTGACCTACCAAGGACACCTATACAAATGTCCTAACCAGCAAGTCCCAAGTAAACAATGAGGGGGGGTTGTAACCACAACAAAAACGCGATTTTGGTACCATGACAAGGTGCAATGTTACCACGGCAGAAAAAAAGCGTTACAGCGACATGTTTCTTGCGGGCTTCTCCCGACAAGCAAGGAAATAGAAATGAATAACAAGGTCAATAGAAAGGAATAAGAAGGAATAAGAAGGTCAATAGAAAGGAACAAGAAGGAATGAGAAGGTGAATAGAAAGGAATAAGAAGGAATAAGAAGGTAAATAGAAAGGAATAAGAAGGAAGGAGAAGGTCAATAGAAAGGAATAAGAAGGAATGAGAAGGTCAATAGAAAGGAATAAGACGGAGGTCAATGGAAAGGAATGAGAAGGAATGAGAAGGAATGAGAAGGTCAATAAATAGAAAGGAACAAGAAGGAATGAGAAGGTCAAGAGAAAGGAATGAGAAGGTCAATAGAAAGGAATAAGAATGGATAAGAAGGACAATAGAAAGGAACAAGAAGGTTAATAGCAAGGAATAAGAAGGTCAATAGAAAGAAATAAGAAGGAATGAGAAGGTCAATAGAAAGGAATAAGAAGGAATGAGAAGGACAATAGAAAGGAATAAGAAGGTCAATGGAAAGGAATAAGAAGGTCAATAGAAAGGAATAAGAAGGAATAATAAGGTCAATAGAAAGGAATAAGAAGGAATATGAAGGTCAATAGGAAGGAATAAGGAATAAGAAGGAATAAGAAGGTCAATAGGAAGGAATAAGAAGGAAAGAAAGGAATAAGAAGGTCAATAAGAAGGTCTTATTCCTTTCCATTGACCTTCTCATTCCTTATTTCCTTTCTATTGACCTTCTCATTCCTTTCTATTGGCCTGTTATTCCTTCTTATTCCTTTTCATTGACCTTCTTATTCGTTTCTATTAACCTTCTCATTCCTTTCTATTGACCTTCTTATTCCTTTCTATTGACCTTCTCATTCCTTCTTATTCCTGTCTATTGACCTTCTCATTCCTTCTTATTCCTTTCTATTGACCTTCTTATTCCTTGCTATTAACCTTCTTATTCCTTTCTATTGTCCTTCTTATCCATTCTTATTCCTTTCTATTGACCTTCTCATTCCTTTCTATTGACCTTCTCAATCCTTTCTATTGACCTTCTCATTCCTTCTTATTCCTTTATTCCTTCTTACTTTTTATTGACATTCTTATTCGTTTCTATTAACCTTCTTATTCCTTTCTGTTGACCTTCTTATTCCTTTCTATTGACCTTCTCATTCCTTCTTATTCCTGTCTATTGACCTTCTCATTCCTTCTCATTCCTTTCCATTGGCCTTCTCATTCCTTCTTATTCCTTTCTATTGACCTTCTCATTCCTTCTTATTCCTTTCTATTGACCTTCTCATTCCTTCTTATTCCTTTCTATTGACTTTCTTATTCCTTCTTATTCCTTTCTATTGGCCTTCTCATCTCTTCTTTCCTTTGTATTGTCCTTCTCGTTCCTTTCTATTGACCTTCTCATTCCTTCTTATTCCTTTATTCCTTCTTACTTTTTATTGACATTCTTATTCGTTTCTATTAACCTTCTTATTCCTTTCTGTTGACCTTCTTATTCCTTTCTATTGACCTTCTCATTCCTTCTTATTCCTTTCTATTGACCTTCTCATTCCTTCTTATTCCTGTCTATTGACCTTCTCATTCCTTCTTATTCCTTTCTATTGACAGTCTTACCTTGTCGGGATAGTCTTCACTGAAACTTGTCGGTGTAACGATGTTCTTTGTCGTTGTAACATGTTCTTTGTCGTGGTTACAACCCTCTCTAAGTAAACAAAACGCAAATTAAGCAACCGTTATCCTGTTTGCAGATATCCTGCAAGTGCACGGTTGGGTGTTCCCCAGAAGGAAGCTAGTCCTACAAATCCTCCTCTCAGCTTCCATTGTTGGGAAAGGGAAAGCGACCCAACCCAACCAATCCAATGAAGGGACCCGTCCCACCTTGCTTGGATATACTTTAAGCAGTGTTGTACTCCAGTCCCCCACTCCCCACCCGACCGATTTGACACAAGCTTATAACCAACCACCAACCATGTATCGCCAAGAACCGTTCCACCCGCCAACCAACGAGGTGTTTGGTTGTAAATAGGCTCAGAAACCTCGGAAACACTGGGCTTAACAACAAAGCCCAGCCTCATGTCGGTATGGGTCAAAAAATTAATCAAACCACCAGCAGACAGCAGGTGTTCGTCCTTTCCACAAATCCCAGACCACCCATTTTGTGGGTCACCCCACATGTTTGTGGACCACCACACACCCCTTAAACACGCACCAAAAACCACCCACCACCACCCACCACCCACGCCACCCTGCCGGTGATCGCGCCTCCAGGTGACCCTCCCCGGCGGCCACCTGCAGCGGGGTCTTCCCGTTGCCATCCGCCTCGTCCTTCGAGGCGCCCGAGGAGACCAGGCACCGCACCACCTGACGTCGCTGACGCTGAGGGAGACGGGAGGGAGTCATCAAAACCCGGGATTAAAAAGGCTAGGTCCAGATTTGAGAGGTTAGAATAAGGGTACCAACCTTTTTTCTGGTTTGTCTATCTTACCCTCAAAAAGGGTAAAAGGTCACTACTGGGGGACCTAGAAGGGATCTACTCAGAACTACTCAACCCGGGATCATTGCCCAGGCTACAAGGCAGTGAGACCGAAGCAAAGACAGGGCACAGCCAGAACTATGCTTCAAGCATTAAGAAGGCGGAGATCCGCAGCTATTTGTGGCAAGGGAATTGTCCCTTGCTAACCTTCATCTACCCGGGTTTTGATTGTGGCTCACGTTGAGATCCATCGGTTTAGGTTTTAAAGCTGAGGAGGGGTGCGAAAATTCCGAGGTACCACCGTTCAGAAACCACGGTTGAAAAAAACACACAAAAAATAGAGCATTGGTATTTGCCGTGGGATCGAATCACTCCAGAGTGTCTGAAAGGTGGTGCGGAATGGATTACACAACCATCCACAGTAGACTCGCAAAAGGAGTCCGCGCTAGCCGCGGAGCCTTGGATGATTCGAACCACTTCTATTTGATTTATAAATGACTAAATCATATCCCAGAGGTGCAGAACAATTACGGACATGATTCTCGCATCCTGACTTCTAGCTTTGTGGGACCCATGCGGCCACTCCAAAAAATTAGCCCCTTATATTATGCTTGTTGGGGGTTGGAAAGGGAAAGCAAATTGATGCAATCATTTGCGGGACAAGGGTGCATACGTTTCTTGATTTTTAGTGCTCCCAAAACACATCAGGGAAGTAAGGACGACCCTTTTTAGTGTTCCCAAACTTAAGACATCCCCTCCCAAAAAAAGAACACATCAGGGAAACTCACCTGCCCGCAAAATGCTGTACAGCACCAAGAAATAGGGAACCCCTGGTCGCGGATGTTCGTTTGGTTTCGTTCTTGAGCCGTGGGAAAGGCCCAAGATGAGTTGCCCTGGGAATGGAAAACTTCGGGAATCCCCCGAAACGCTTCATTCAACCAACTGGCGGGTGGTCAAAAATCGGTGCCCGAAATGGACTGCCCGGCTCAATGGAAACATGGCGTCATTCCCTCGCCAAGTTGGGATCCCACGCGCCTCGGTGTGGCCCAAGCCCGCCGCGGTCATCAGCGCCGTGCTGCCGCTGAAGTCCCTCAAACCCACGTCCGCCGCGGCCTCCAAGCGGGCCGGCTGCGCCCCCAGCCCCGGTTTGGGGCCGAGAAAAGGACCCGGGCATAGGGGCAGAGGGAGTCATAATCCCGCACCCAAAAAACCATGCAGAGAATTGGAAAGGCGGCCACACCCATTTATGGCTGGGATTGTCCCTTACTGCTCTCCAAGTACCCAGGTTTTGATTGTTGCTCAGGAGTGCTTTTGAGAACATTGGCCCGCAACTGTTTTGCCTTTCGCCTTTTGACTTTTTTCATAAGGTGTGTGTTGGTTGTTTCTTGGCTTGGTGTCCTGTTGGCCCTGTTTTTTTGGAAAATAGATACAACCAGGCCCATCCATGCTGCCCAAACAAGCAAAAGAACACCGAGTTGTTCCAGAGGCAAACTTTTAGATAGTAATCGAAACCGATAGTAGCGGGAAAGTTCCACAAAACCCTGATACCAGCACCCAGGTCCCAAGCACTGCTTTTTGTACTTGGAATTTTGGACATGGTTCAAACAGCAGAAAAGTTGGGACCCGGGTGCTACCTGATCTTGGCTTGCTCAAAGTGATGGAGTCCTGCATGTCCGAGTTGGGTATGAGAGGTTTTCTCCCTGTTCTTTGCCGTCTCACTTGGCCTCACAGGATTTTCCCGTAAGGGCAACCCTGAAAGGATACCTCCAAAAATCGCTTCTGCTTCACAAGATCCTCCAAACCCAGCCGACAAAGGTGGCATGTTGTGCCCAAATGGGCGTGTGTGTTTTTTGAGGAACCCCCCAAAACGGTGGTTTTTCTTTTGGTTCCCCTTCAAAATCCAACCAACAGGGGTCCCCTAAGAAAAAGACGCCCTGTTCACAGGGGCTGAACAAGGGCCTTCAACAGCAGCTGCACCAACTTCAGGTTGTTCTTGGCGCTGGCCTCCCGAGTCAAAGAAAAAGCGTGGGTCGACGAGCAAATGAAAACCTGAGGACAAGAGAAATACCAAGTCTTGCAAGGCCACCTTGCGAAGGTCCAATGGATTTGCTGGTCATGTTCCCAAAGGAATCTCACCAGTAAAACATGTGTGGCTTCCTTTTGTCTGCCTTTCAACTCAATCCAAAAGAGGGGTCCCGATTTTGGAAAGACTCAGTTTTTTTAGCGAACAGCCTGCGTAAGCAATCAATAGCTTGTGGATGCAGAATGCGGGGTCTCATCCTGTTGGAGACGAGCAGGGGCTTCTTGTTTGGGGGGGCCCAGGGGTCGGCTCACCCCGGCCAAACAAAAAGAAGCCAACTGTCCTGGTCGGGGGCGTGGAGGCTCCAAAAAACCCAAAAAGGCCGACCCGCTTGGGCTTCACCGGTTGGATGCGGTTTGAAGGGACACCAACAAAAAGAGGACCCTTCATTTTGAGAGGCCCATTTAAGTGGAACACGCCCGTGTTCAAATACACAAATCGGGTCCCCTGCCTGACACGCCCCAATTTGAGTCGTAATCAACACCTGGTATTAAAATGGTCTACCAAGAGCCATGAAAAAAAAAATGCAGGCGGCCGAAGCTATTTCTAGTTGGGATTGTCCCTTACTAACCTTCATCTACCCGGGTTTTGATTGTGGCTCATTTGAGCCATGGGCCAACCACTGGACAAGGGGAAGGCTGCGGCACCGTGTGGCCGATGCCTGGACCAGAAACAGCCCTGAAGTTGTATCAAAATCACGCATCCCCAAATCTGGGCTGCCCTCAGATCCCCCGCTAAAAGTTTAACTTGTAGTGGGTTAAATGGAAACTACCACTAAACACACACCCACACACACTCGCACACACACACACACACACACACGCCAACAAAAAAACAACTCACCCGCAATCTCCCCCCCCCAAAAAAAAAAAACTCTGGTAATATCCCCAACAGCATGCGGTGCTCTTTTTAGTGCTCGTACCCCCCCGTAGCCCTCGCAGAACCTCATGGAACCCTGCTGGAACCCTGGTGAAACCCTGGTGGAACCCTGGTGGAACCCTGGTGGAACCCTCGTGGAACCCTCGTGGAACCTTACCTCAGGGCCGCCCCGGACCACCCGGGGTCTATCTGGGCTGAGACCCCAAAGCTTTCAGCTGTTGGGGAAAAAGAGACACAACCAAAAGAAAGAACAAAAACCAACACACGCACAAACCAAAAAACAACAAAAGGCGGCTCTCCCCCCAAAAAAAAAACAAGAAGAAAGAAGTCCACGTTGGGCGCGCCTTGAGCAGCGGGGACTTGCCCTGGAGGTCCCGGCAGTTGGGGTCCGCCGGCTCCGCCAGGAGGCGCTTCATGAGGTTCAGGTCCCCTGTGCACATGGCGCAGGGTGTGGAGTGGGTTTGGGGTGGGTTTGGGGTGGGTATGGAGTGGGTTTGGGGTGGATTTAGAGTTTCAGTTTGTCTTTTTAGGGGTCTTTCCCTGTCCACATGAGTTGATTGGGGTGGGTTTGGGGTAAATTTAGAGTTTCAGTTTGTCTTTTCAGGGGGGGATTTTGCCCGAGCTTATTTTGAGACAACAAGTCCCTGAAAGGCCATACAAAGACATGAAAAAGACCCCTTAAAAGACAAACTGAAACTCTAAACCCACCCCGAACCCACCCTACACATGGACAAGAGCTTAAAAGACACTAAAGGCCACACAAAGACATTGAAAGACCTAAAGAGACAACAGCACCACACCCTCCCAGAATCCTCGCGGAACGCCCCGGGACCATCCTGATCGGGGCCCGACGGCGCAATCCGGGCCCGATCGGGGCCCCCCGACGGTGCAATCGGGGCCCGATTGGGGCCCGACGGTGCAATCGGGGCCCGATCGGGGCCCGACGGTGCAATCGGGCCCCGATCGTCCCGTGGTTCAACCCCAGCCACTCATATTATAGCTCAACGCCGGTTTTCCTTAGCATGCGGATTGCAACTGTATTTATAGCAAAACTAGGCGATGCCAGCTTGGTACAATTGACGGGGCCCGACTGAGTCGGGCCCCGATCGGGGCCCGACGGCGCGATCGGGGCCCGATCGGGGCCCGACGGCGCAATCGAGAAATGCAATCGGGGCCCGATCGGGGCCCGACGGTGCAATCGGGGCCCGATCGGGGCCCGACGGTGCAATCGGGTCGTCCCGTGGTGCAACCCCACCCACCCATATTGTAGCTCAACGCCGGTTTTCCCTTAGTATGTGGATTGCAACTGTATCTAAGCAAAACTAGGCGATGCCAGCTTGGTACAATTGACGGGGCGCGATGGCGCAATCGGGGCCGATCGGGCCCAAACGGTGCAATCGGGCGGGCCCCGACGGTGCGATCGGGTAGGCCCGCTCCTCGCAAACCGTTCTCACGCAACTTTCGTGGAGCTCAGCGTGAAACTTTGCTGGAACCTTTCCTCAGGGCTGCCCCATAGCTTTTGCAGAATTTGGTGGAAACCTTCTGGCCTCATAGCCCCCGCAGCCTCGTGGAATTCTTGGAACCAAGCAGCAATGCCAAGCATTTACTCTGCTGCACCGTGAGTTCCGCAGCGACGTGATCTGATTTGCCACAAAGCCAACATTTGCCTGAGCAAGTGAGCAAGTCACAAAACAGTGAAAGTGTGCTAAAAAACATTGATTTCGGTTTTGCTTAGTGTTCCGCCCATGAGCAAAGCGATCTTGATCCGATGGCTTTTCAAACGACGGGCGCACGACACACTCTTGGTGGAGCATTGTGGAGCCTTGTGGAACCCGTGTGGAATCCTTGCAGAGCTTTGTGGAAAGGGCCAACAGCCCTCGCAGAATCTTGTGGAACCCTGAAACCCTCATACAACCTTACCTCAAACCACCCCGGACCACCCCTCAGCCCTCGCAGAACCTCGTGGGACCCTGCTAGTTACCTTGCAAAACCTGGTGGAATTCTGGTGGAATTCTCATGCAACATTACCTCAAACCAGCCCGGACCGCTGGTGGAACCCTGGTGAAACCCTGGTGGAACCCTCGTGGAACCTTCCCCGGACCACGCCGCACCCTCGAAGAAATTGGTGGAACCCTGGTGGAACCCTTGTCCGGAGCACGACGGCTGGTGGAACCCTGGTGGAAACCTGGTGGAACCCTCGTGGAACCTTACCTCAAACCACCTCGGACCACCCTGCAGCCCTCGCAGAACCTGGTGAAACCCTGGCAAAATCTGGTGGAACCCTCGTGGAACCTTCCTCAAACCAGACCACCCCAGCCCTCGAAGAAATTGCTGGAACCCTGGTGGAACCCTCATGGAACCTTACCTCAAACCACCCCGGACCACCCTGCAGCCCTGGTGGAACCCTCGTGAAACCTTACCTCAAACCAGCCAGACCACGCCGCAGCCTGGTGGAACCCTGGCAGAACCCCTCAAAGAAATTGGTGGAACCCTGTGGAACCCTTGTGGAACCTTACCTCAAACCACCCCAGACCACCCTGGTGGAACCCTGGTGGAACCCTGGTGGAACCCCTGGTGGAACCCTGGTGGAACCCCTGGTGGAACCCTGGTGGAACCCTGGTGGAACCCTGGTGGAACCCCTGGTGGAACCCTGGTCGAACCCCTGGTGGAACCCTGGTGGAACCTTAGCTCAGGGTCGCCCCGAACCACCCCGGAGCCTATCTGGGCTGAGACCCCAAAGCTTTCAGCTGTTGGGGAAAAAGAGGCACAGGGAATCCGGGTCAGTCCCCCCAACCCAGATGTCGAACCAAAACTCCTACCCCCACCAAAAGGAAGGGGGAACCAATAAAACCTGCTCAAATAGGGGTTCCTACATGCTTCCCTTCTAAGCATCACCCCCCCAAAAGTAAAATTACCTTGTCCTTTGAAATGACGGCCCAACAAATGATTTTGATTCCATGAACATACAATAGGAAGACCTGCCAGGGGCAGAAGCCGCTACAGCGAACAAATAATCAAAACGCCCTCTAAAACACATACCCGTCTCTGAATGAGGGAACCGCTCCCTGCTAAAAATGCTGAGCTCCTTGAAAACCAGAAGGCCGACAAACAAACAAACAAACAAACAAACGAACGAACAAACAAACAAACAAACAAACAAACCAATCCAATCCAAACCGGTTGAACCAAACCAAGCAAAACCAAATAGCACCAACCGGCCAACCAACCGACCGACCGACCAACCGACCAAGCAAACAATCAAGCAAACAAACAAAACCATGCAAACAAAACCAGACAAGCACAAGCAAGCAAGCAAAGCAACAAAGACATGCACACAAAACCAGACAAGCAAGCAAGCAAGCAAGCAAGCAAGCAAAGCAACAAAGACATGCAAACAAAACCAGACAAGCAAGCAAGCAAGCAAGCAAGCAAAGCAACAAAGACATGCAAACAAAAAGCAAGCAAGCAAGCAAGCAAGCAAGCAAGCAAGCAAGCAAGCAAGCAAGCAAGCAAGCAAGCAAGCAAGCAAGCAAGCAAGCAAGCAAGCAAGCAAGCAAGCAAGCAAGCAAGCAAGCAAGCAAGCAAGCAAGCAAGCAAGCAAGCAAGCAAGCAAGCAAGCAAGCAAGCAAGCAAGCAAGCAAGCAAGCAAGCAAGCAAGCAAGCAAGCAAGCAAGCAAGCAAGCAAGCAAGCAAGCAAGCAAGCAATGAGAGAGGCAGAGAGAGAAAAAGAGAGGGAGAGGTTGACGCCCACCTGCTTGCCAACACATTTTGTTCTTCAATGCGGAATGTGAGGGGCGGAAAAAGAAAAGAACAGTATTCAGTATTCACTGTTCTCCTATAACTTGACGGGCCTTCGTGCCCCGCAAGCTCAGATTTCATGACGCAAAAGAAACCGCCCCGCCTCCCTGCAACTCCCTACACCTACAAATCTGCAAAGGGGATCTGTTGGTGGACATCATGTTGCTGGGGATTTATGTCCACCCACCATTTTGGAAAACTCACAGAACTCATGGTGGGTGGACTTTTTGTGGGGAACATAAATGTGGGAGATTTATGTGAGTTTTACCATTTTTGGCGGACATCGTGTTGCCCCAGTAAAACTCACAGAACTCCCCGCCATCTCCCGCCAGCCGCCTCTGTCTGCCGCCTGCAGCAGCTGCTCTTCGGAGCCGTGGCCGCAGGGCAAGATCACCACCTGGCCACTTGTCAGCATCCCCAAATCCCTTGCTGGCCGGGGGCGGGGGACCCGGGAGGGGGACTGGGGTTGAGGTGTTTTCTTTTTTACTAGCCCCGGCTCAGCAAAACAAAGCCTCGCTCTAAAGAGGTGGGTTGGGGCCGGGTTGGTGGGCTGCATCCCCGGCATTCTCGGTTGCTTGGCTTCAGGGCTTCGTATTCGGCGTGACTTGGTCCGTGGTGGTTCAGAGTTGCCAACGCCCCACAACCAATCCCAAACCAGCCCAAAACTTGCATAACCACACCCTGAAGCAACCCGAAAGTCACAGTTGCTCCGGGCTGGTTGGGGGTGAGTGTTGGGCTTGCTGAAGTCTTACTGAGGGCGGGTCTTGGGTTGGGTTCATTTAGGCTCGGCAAAGGGCTGGCACGCAGGGTGCGGCTGGGAGGGTTTAAGCTTGACTTTGGGTCGGTTTTGGTTGGTTTGGGGCGGTTTAGACGTCCCCCAACGTGAATTTCACCAAACAATGGATTCAGTTATTGTTTCTTAGGTGGTGCCTCAAAGGATTTCGCAACCATCCCCAGTAATTAGGGTTGGTTCCTTTTGGGTGCATTTTCCTTTTTCGGGGGGTCCAGTCCCCGGAGCCGGTGTTTGGTTTTTTTACTAGCCCCGGCTAGGGGTTGGTTGGTTGGTTGGTTGGTTGGTTGGTTGGTTGGTTGGTTGGTTGGTTGGTTGGTTGGTTGGTTGGTTGGCTGGTTGGTTGGTTGCGTGGGTGGGTGGGTGGGTGGGTGGGTGGTTGGTCCCCAGCATCCCAGTTTCTTGGCGTCAGGGCTGCATCTTGAGCATCACTGGCCTCGCTCGAACTCGAGCTGTCTATTGGCTTTCAGTGCAGTAGCCCCGAATAGGCCTTGTTAGTGGCTTAACAACGATTTGGGCCCCGAACGACAACCGTAGGACCAAAGCTGGCGTTGTTTTTGTTGTTTGAGTAAAAGAAACATAAACCAACGGACAACCAAAGGTATCTTGTTTGAGGGTACCAGAAGCTTCCCTATACTCAAGGGTGATGAAACAAGCAAGTGAACCATCAACACAATATGTGCGATATGCCGGAATCTTGATGTAAGAAAAGACATACGCCCTGTCGCGTTTGGACGCTGAAATCTTCGCTGTCAGAGGCTCAAAGGAAACATCGCAAGTAGCAAGCCGCAGCAAGCCCCAAAAACCAAAAGCTGGTGGAACCTGGGCATGCGGCATGCGCCAAGACAAAGCCCAAAAGCCACATCTCCAGCAAAAGAAACCAAAAAAAACACCTATATACGGGAGCCCGAGGGCATCGAGGGAATCGAGGGCATCGAGGGCATCGAGGGCATCGAGGGCATCGAGGGCATCCGCCTGCAACTCCTGTGGTCGGCCCAGCTCCTCCCAAGTGCCAAGGTCTGGAAGGATGCCCTTGTCCCGCAAGAGGCGCAAGCGGAAGGTGGAAACATTGATCCTCGGCTCAGAGTCTCTTGGCTTCTCTTGGCTTCACTGGGCTTCTGTTAGCTTCTCTTGAAGTCTTGGTTTCACTTGGCTTCTCTTGGCTGCTCTTGGCTTCTCTTGGCTTCTCTTGGCTTCTCTTGGGTTCTGTTTGCTTCTCTTGGGTTCTGTTTGCTTCTGCTGAGTTTTGAGTTTATTCGAAAATCAACTCAAGAGGGGTTTAGGATCCTCTGAGTCCAAAAGCCCTCAGATCCCAGGGTCAGCTTCACTTCAAACCGTGAGGGTTCTGATCTCCACGAAGCTCAGTCTGTGCCTGTTTGGCCTGCATATAAATGGTGAACCCAGGCCGTAGTAACAGATACGGCCCCAAAATGGGCAGTTTCCTTTTGGTGTCCCTGTAATAACCATGCAAAAAGGGTGGCTTCAAAAAAAGACGGAACCACACCTCTTTGACCATTCCATTTCTTGACAAAGACTTCAAACTGAAACCTCTCTCGAGAAATCAACCGGTCACAAGGTGGTGAAAAAATGGAATCAAGCTCCCCCTGGGGCCCTTGCCTCTTAGGAAAATGGAGTCGAGCAATCCGCCGGGGAAACAACGATGGATTGTGGAACAATGGAGCAATGGTCAAGCCAACGGAAAACCAAAGGACACCTTTCTCCAGAAATCCGAGTCTGTCTCTGAACATCACATGTTCAGCCATTCCCCAGCAAACAACTATTTAATTCCGGTCCTTATTGAAATAGCCTTAAGCCGCAAGTAACAATCGAACATATATCCCAGAAAGGGGGATCCACGCTAATTTCCGGATCGCCAGTTGGGACCTTTACGAAAAGTGAGAAGAAAGAAAAGAACCAACAGATCCACTACAATGAGGGACTCCCAAAAGGGCTGCGTGCCATTTGCGGAATCCAATATATATATATATATATAGATATATATATATATATATACACACACACTTTTTGGGAACACCCTCAGAGATGGTTTCAAAACACCCCAAACTTGTCTCAAAGCACCCCAAATATAATATATTCATCCAGAGTCGACATTGCCTCACTCCGAGCTTTGACGCAGTCCTGGAGACCATGGTCCAAGTAATTCAGTCGGGCCAAGCGGCTTATCCTGCAGCTCTTCCTTCACAGCTACGCCTCAGTAGGGGCACCTCATTCACTACGCCTGCAAATGATCATGGCATCATTTGCCCATGCAGCTGGCTAAACGCAGATTAACCCAAGACGACAAGGGAGGCATTGCAGATGTAGCTCAAGCCAAAGCTACGCAGCCCCATCGAGTTGCTTCCAGAAGTGACTTTCCCTGGCTATTCCGGGGCGCCATTGGGCGGGGGGGGGGGGGGGGACTGTTCTATTGTCCACCAAACCCACCGGAAAATGGCCTCAAAATCATCAGGTCCAATGCTGTCTTTAGGTTGGACATATAGGAGACCTGGTTAGAGGCTGCTTCGCACCGCCAAACACCGAAAGATGAACATGTCCTTTGCAAATAACGGCCACCTCCCCCGAAAGTTGTCTGGTTTGCGACCTTCATGCCAATTCTTTCAGAGAAACTCCGGTGCGAAAAAAGACGCAAAGTATCGAGTCATTCCTTCCAGAGAGGTCGAGGAGCTTCCTTCCAGAGGACCCTGCCAGAGGCTCAAGCCCTAGAACTCACAGGCCCTGGGGTGTGGAACATCACCCATGTGAGAGCAAAGAAGGCTATCCCCAAGCTCGCTGCCAAGGAGGGAGGGTGGCCGGCATCGCGGAAATTCGTCCTGCCCCAGGTCCCTCCAAATGGCCAGGCGGCTCTTCAGGGTATGGTTTGGAGAGGAGTCTGCCCTTCCAAGGGATGGATCGCAGAACAGAGACTCTGCCCATTTGCCATAGAAAACAAATGAAGCTCCGAAAAGTGACGGAGCTGTCATGGGATCTCGAAAAATCGTCCTCGGCACTTTTAACATCCAGAAAGGCCCACCCAAGAGAAAAGTAGTCTAAACATGGACCATGGATTTGATTTTTCGGTCATGTCAATCTGCAGGAGAGTATGTAACGCGCTGTGTTGATCCCTTGCCCTTAAACCGAGAAGATTTGCAAGTGGATCCCTTCGCAAAATACCAAAATGCTGTACAGCTAGGTGTCCATCCTTGTACCTTCCAGTCTTTTCTAGCTGCCATGGGCCAGCGATGGCGCCATTTCCAAAGGGAACCCCCTCAAAAAAAAAAAAACGAGACGCACAGTGGTTTAATGCCCTGACTGGAGGCCTGGGATCCCCCAGAACCCGAAACGAGAAGGAAGCACCGAAGCACCTGCCAAGGCGCCAAACCCGTTCTTGGCCAGCGGAGAGTTGCTCAAGGCCTGCAACACACCGCCCCCCCCTTTGCCGCGCGCGCGCGCTTAAAGGGTCAAAGCACCCGAGGGGGCCATGCCCAAAGAAACCTCAGCCCTGGTAGCAGTTACATGGGAGTGCGTGTGGGTGCTTTTTTTGTGTGTTCCTTTTTGTTTTCATTTTCGGAGGGTACCCTTTATTGAAGGGCGCCAAACGGTAAGCCATTGTAGGGGTCCCCCAATGTTGACACCCACACGGATATCATGGGCTAAATCACGCACGCAAACTTGATGCTGGTTTGATCATGGCTTACATTGACTTTAAAGCCCGTTCCACTTCCAACAATCATACGGCCCCCGCTGTCAGCCAAGAGGGTATCAAACTGGTGGCGTCAAACGAAGAGCTTCTGGCTTCCTGGGGCCACCAAACCAAGATAATCCTCGCCTGAAAGCAAGACTCCGAGGATCTCCCTCCCTTCAAACCAACCGAGGAAAATGTGAATCACCAACATCTCGAGCAAATGCAAGCGCATCAGCTAGGCTCGCCACTTTCCGCGGAGGGCTCGCTTTCGATGATTGAAATTTGCAAGCCATAGACAGAGCGATCCCACCCGCCCAAAGTCCGCAGAGGGGTCACTTTCTGTTCCAAATGCGCACCGCTCCACAGCAACAGCGAGTTCACACACCCAAAGTCTGAATTTCGATGTTACAACAGCAAGAACAACGCGACCAATGTCCGCAGAGGGTGCACCAATTCACTTTCCGTAGACACCAAATTGCTTTTCGACATGCACATCAACACCACACAAGGGAGCCTGCGCAGACGAAACACCCAGCCCAGAGCCGTCACCCTGATAGTAACCGGCGCTTTACTCCTACCGCAAAAACCCGTCTAAGACACACTGTGGAAAACACACAATAGAAGCACCTATCAACCGCAGTGAAGGGGAAGCTGATTGAAGCCCTTCATATTCGAAGCTTGATATGGGTGAATACGGGACCTAATCCATTTGTCTCTGCACGGGCTCCAAAAGGCTTCAGCTGCTTTTGTCCAAACTCTTGACTGGTGCTCGTATGCGATGTGCTGATACGCAACCCACGCTTCAACTTGGAAGGTCCTATCTTGGTTCACACCCCGCATGGCTTGAGGCAACCTCCAAGCAAACCGCAGCTTGTGACCTAGTTCCCTGTCGTTTCCCGTGCGAAGAAACCAAACACTTAAAGAACCCATTTCCCCGTGGCATTTCTGGAGGCTGGAAGGAGTCAGAATCGCTGGCCGCCCCTGTAGACATGTCTCCCACCTTCATATACCTGAATCGGTTTTGATCGTGGCTGCTGGGGGGGTCAATTCATTTTTTTTTTTTAATGCTGATGCTTGGAACACTTGCCACATGGGCCGTCCCTCACGTAGTCCTCATGGTATCTGGCTCACCGATCCCCAAGTGGCGGGGGTCCCTTGAGCTGCTTCCGATCCCGCGGTGGGCAAAGTTCGAGCTGTTCATGGCATGTTGGTTCCAGCCACCATAATTAAAAAAGAAGAAATATTGGCTGGAATTAGGACCCCAGCAAATATATATATATATATATAATATAATATATATATATAATATATATATATATATATAATATATATATATATGTTTTGCCTGGTTAGTGGAAAACAAAGGGACCCCAAAAAAGCAACAAAACGAAAAGGGGAGCTAATTCCGGGGAAGAAAAGAGTTTGCAAGTTTGCAAGTTCAGCTTTTGAACAAGTCAACTCAAAACCCACTCCAATCAACAGGGCACTCCCCAAAAGGGCGGAGATGTGATCATGTCGTTTGGAATCATTCGCCGCCATAAATGCAGGCTTGACCTGTTTATCATACATGTATATATATATACATATATATATATATATATATGTATACATATTAATATGTATATAAACAAACATACTTGTTTGTCCAAGCTACATATTGCCAACAAAGGCGCTCGTCCAAAAACAGGACAAGAATTGCTTCTCTTTGCCCAACATCGACCCCAAGAATTGCCGTTGGTTTCTGGCCGTCTGCTTGCCTCGGCATCCACCTCCGCCAAGGTCTCCCCGGACACGGACACCACGCGCATTGGGCGAGCTTCGGGCGAAGGGGGGGGGGTCGGGGAGTGGTGGAGGGATGGGTGCGAGGTGGTGATTTCAAGAAAACTGAAAACTAAGGGCCACTTTGAAGTGGCAAGGACCGGAAAGGGCCATGAAGTGTGAAGTTCTCTTGGGGTGTTGCGCTTTTCTAAGGTGTGGTTTGTTCTTTCAATTCACAGTCGTGGTAGCGGGCAGGCGCTCGTGCCGCTTCCGACCTTTCCGCTGCAGCAGTCAGCAGGGGCCCTTTTGCAGAGCCCTTCGTAGTGCTTAACCCAACTGAGGGCCGATTCTTCGGCGGCTGGAAACACCGATTAGAGCAATTAAACTTGGGAAGTGTGCTCCACATGTCTCTGAGCCCGGCTGCGCGGCCCGGACCGTGGAATTCATCGTATGGCGTTCGGTTTCCACAGGCAGAACCTTTGCAGTCTCGTTGAAAGCTGGGGAATGGTCATACCGTGGGCGGACAAAATCCACTTCGCACCAGGGATGGACGAAACCGTGCGAATAGCGAGGCAAACTACCTATCAACTGGACTTCATTTTTCCACAGAGGCCAGGAAATAGCCTGGCGTAGATCACTTAACAAATCATTTCATGGCCAATTGGGGTCCTGGAGTGGCTGAGAAAACATCCTTCCCTTCAAAGATCCAACTCCGAAAGGTCTGGCATCCAAATGTCGAATGCCACAAACCTGCTTGGAGGAGTTTCCGATTCAGGAATCAAATGATCCGTATCGAAACTGACCAAAACAAAGCAAAGATTACCCCTTCCCCAATGGAACCTTAATAAAACTAATTAGCCAATGGTTGCGGAGTCCGATTGAAACCATCCGAAACGAGGCCCTCCCCTAATGTTGAGACATACCCATTTTCTGCCAAGGCCACTTCAAAGGATCATGGCCCGCCTTCACCAACGCATACCCTCTTTCCCAAGGCAGCATGGACGGACACCTGAAAGACGAATTTGGCTTCACCCCCCTACCCGGCTAACGAGTCCGCGGCGAGTATTCGCGAGATCAAGAGACGATCCGTCATGAAAAGCCACTAGGCACGTGCTTGTTGTTTGAGGCTTGAGGCAAACTGCTCTAGCTCCCCTCCAACAATATACACAGCAATCCCTAAACCAAAAGCATCGCATCGTCACCCCCGTCAATTGCAAACTCACATGAATGTTTCACCCTGACTAAGAGCATGGTTGTCCTAATGTTCTTTGTCATTTGACAACAAGATCCACCTTTTTCCGGTAGAAGCCACGGTCCAAAGCCAGTCACCATTTGGACCCAATGCCCTGTGTTCCCGTTCTAGATGAAACAAAACAGATACAAAAGGGTTACAGGAAACCTATCCCATGTTGAACAACCCTATGCACCCAAGGTAAACTGAATCAATTCATCTGCCTTTTCAAGAGCTGGGGTTTTTCCCCACCCAAGAGCGTGGAACCCACTGAACTGGGAAAGAACCAGCTCGGACGTGGGGAAACAGTGGAAGTAAACTAGCAACTCTAGACAACTGGGCAAACAGGAAAGAAGCATCATGTTCACCTAATACAAACTAGTGATCTCACCTCGATCTATCTTCTCTTTAGGGTCCCGGCCCTAATAATGACGATGTTCCTTTTGGCGTCCCTTTGAAACCACCAAACAACGGGAACCAACTCCAGCAAGACAGACACCCTCCAAAAAAAAGGGACCGAGCCACCCCAAAAAACCATTAAACACATCCGAAACTCGGTTTAGGGTTTGCTTGAAGGGACACCAAAAGAACACATCAGGCAAAACCGCAGGATCCAAAAAAATACACCACATGCGCTCGCCCGAGTCTGGAAGCTCGCTCGAGTCAGGGCGAGCGCTATCGAGCGCACTCGATCTCTTTGAACTGCTCCTCCTTGGTGCTGGTGATGGCCTTCGGCTTCTGCTCGGGCTTCCTGCGCGCGGTCCGCGAAAAAAAATCCACCGCGCTGGCGGGGGGGGTCCTTGTTGCTTTGGTTCCCCGGATTTTTTTTGGGTTGCTCTAAGGGGCAACCCAAGGGAAGACGTGTTCGGGGGTTCCCCTGAAAAAAACAAGACTCTTTTATGGCTTTAAAGGGAAACCAACGGGAAAACCACTTTTTTTGTTTCTTTTCGGGGGGGAAGTTCCCAACAGAAAGACTTGGGGACCCAAAGTAAACATCATTTAAGGGACTCGTCCACCACTAATCTGATCTTGAAGTGTATCAATGGCTTGTTTCAAACACATCTGGCCCTCCTTTCCAACTCAGTGGGCTGGCTATTCCCCAAACAGCTGATGGGATTTAGCTGATGTGCAAAGGAATCCCCACCCACCCCTCCCGCAAAACTAAATAGATAAATGAATCGATAAAGCTTGCAGAACGGGCACACATCTGGGGCTGAATGGGTCTTAACTCATGTCGTGAATTGCAATCCGCCAAGAAGGATAGCCCCCCTGATTCACTTCACTTCCTGAAAGGTCTTTCCTCTCCAAAAACCCTGGAACGACCAAGGATCGGTCGCTGAAAGCAAACGAAACCAAAGTTCATCTGGGTCTGGTCGTCTGGCTCAGAGAAGCTCGGGTCTGAAACCCGAAGAAACCAACCTCTCGCTAAGTCTTTGGACCTGGTGTATCTTGGCGGAGATCTTGGAAGCACTTACTAAGCGCAAGAGTCGAAAGCTTGGCAACTCGAGGAAATAAGTCATGATTGCAGGAAACTGAGAAGCCAAACTGAAAAGCCAGCTTCATAAACGTGTTTCCGCTTTGGAGATCCTCTTAAGCCTGGCAATGAGGGCATGGATTTCTCCTTACCCAATCAGACTCCGGGGCGCCCGGCGCCATGATGGGGCCCCAGCTCTCTCGAACTGGACGCTCCTCTGCCTTGCACGTCAGCCGCCTCCCTGACTCACTGGCCCAGCGGAAAAGGCCGGGCAAATGGACAAACCTGCAGTCCCCTGGCTCCAAACTTTGAGCCACATGATGGTCCCCTTTTGTTGGTTGGATCCCTGTACCCAAGGCCAACCTTTCCCCTTAGAAACAAACAAAAAAAATACCAAGCGCTCTCCGGCCCTACTTCTCCTGTCACATGTTCTTCCTGAGCGGCTCTCACTTCGGATTCCTCGGACTCGAGTCAGGGCGGTTTTTTCCCATGGAAAGCATCTCAGGGGTCCATCTTGATGCAAAGGAGTCTAAAACTGGGCATGTGTTCGGACGAGGATTCAACCCCTCCCCTAACCCTCCCCTGGCTTCCTTCAAATCCGGCCTTGATAAGAGGAAGGAGGGTCAGGGCAGGGGGTGAATACTATGACAACCGCCCCAAACCAGGTCCCTAGATCTGAGTGCCAAACCAAGCCCAAAGGATCGTGCGTTGCTCAATACGAGGAATGGGTGTGTCTCCTGTTGAGGGTGGCCTTCTTGGCTGAGTTTAAAAGGAAAACAAGAGAACCCCGCCCATTTTTTGGCGGTTCCCCTACTTCTGAAGGGAAAAATAGGGAAAACAAGAGGACACTGCACATGTGTGTATTTTTTGGGGGTCCCCCCTATTTAAAGGCAGACCCAAAAATGGTCCATTGGTGCGAAGCCCCAAAGCCCCAGTTTGACTTCACAGTTGCGGATGCGAAAACAATTGATGAATCACTGGGCCTATGAACCCACGGCTCAACTGCCAAAAGGATTCAGAAGCAAAGCAAGATGATACCCACGCCATGTCAAGGGCCCCACAAATGAGGCTGGTCCTTTTGCCGCCTTTTCAATGGGGGCCAGTTTGGAACAAGGAGGTGGCGACCTTTTTCTAACAAGGTCTCACACGAACCCCATCTATCCTGCCTTGTCCACCGGCAGTCTGAGGCTCGGGTCCTCAGACAGCTTGAGAGATGTGGCGGTTTTGGGGCGGATTTTTTGTTCGGGTCCAGGCCGTTGGGGATACGCGAACTGTGGACACGAGTGGAGAGAATTAGGGAAGTACCTGATCTGTTCGAGAAATTAAGCTCCCTTGTCAAAGTTTGGCAGGGACGCACATCAGGAAATGGTTGCTCAAACTTGGCATGGAATGATTGATGTATGCGAGGCTTCTACGCAGTGCCGCTTGGCGCTCGAAGAGCTCGTGGGCTCAGCCAAGACTGGGACACCCTTGTCACTTCGCTCTCTTCCATGGCACTCCACGTGCAACACATGGCAGAGTCCTCCCTTCAAGCAAGTTGTTTCAACATCCTGTGCGCAAGAGTCTCCAAATGGGTCATGACTAGGTTGCATCAAGTGTCCTAGTTAATGAAAACAACCTCGGGCACTTGGGAGTCCGCAGGACTCACCTCTCAAGATCAATCGCGCCCGTTCGGTCTCAGCTCTGCACCAAAGGCCCCGTAGACATGCCGCCTACGGATCAGCGGACTTGGCTGGCATACCTCCACCGGCTGAAAGTGCTTCATACCAAGAGGAAACGTCTTTCAGTTGCAGTCTGCAAAGGGCAGAGGGCGAGTTGCTTGCTTGTGTTCACGCAGAATCTTTGGCATGCCCACGATGCCAGAAAAGATGCAGGGTTGTTGCAACAAAACATCACAAATAAATCCAGCTGCGCTGTGTGTCTTCGAGCTCGAAGAGCGAGGGCAACCCTACCCGTAGGGTATACCCCCACCCGCAGGGTATACCGCTGACGTGTTTTGTTGCACCCCAAGCTCCTCCTCAGCATTGCCTGCATCACCTGCACGCAGGCCGGCCCAAACACTTGGACCCCCAAACCATCCCCGACCTCCCTGGCCTTGCGACGGGCTTCTGATGCCACGTTGCCCGACCTTTCAAAAAATACTGCAAATACTGTGCAAAATCGCCTCGGACAGTCGCCAGCATCCCCGCCAACATCCTCGCCAGCATCCCCGGCACTCCCTGCATCACCAGCATCTGGGCGTTCCAGTATCCCTTACATCCCCTGCATCCCCTGCATCGCTCAAACCCTTCGGTAGGCGGACATGGCGAGCAAGTCTGCGTTCGAGTGGGCGTTTCTTGCGCAAGTGCGGCCGCCGCCGCTGTGCGGAAAACATCGTGCATAC